TCGTAAGTAGTAAAATATAATTTCATCGTAACTTATACTATAGGTATTGTAACTGAAGGCCTTCAAAATTTAGAAAAGTTATATTCAAAGACTGTATTACACTTTAAAAAAGCATATGACAAATATTTTAACTCTAATTGTAGTGTATTTTATATTCAAAACTGAAATATATTCTTCAATATATAATATCACTTTTAGTATGAACCTACTATTGTTGCCAGGCATCTGCCGGGTCCTGCAGAGTTTTCGCCTCAGCGGCTGACCGTCCTCACTGGCGGATCCAGGCTTGCGTTTTGGGGGGGGGCCAACTCATGCAGGAGCCAAACCTAGGGTACCCCCAAATCCTGTTTTCTCATCGGATTTAGGCCACTTATTTTTCGTCACAGCCCTGACACTATGATTTTTTTTTTAACTAAAAAGAAAAATATATAAATGGTAGCCCACCCGACCCATGCCTTTATATTACTTTGTAAACACTTACCATTGTTTTTATCGACCAGTTAAAGGGACCCTCCCACCTTAACATTAGATTTGAGCTGAGATAGCCAAAATGGGGTCCCTGGCTCACAATTACCGGTTTCGGCACGCACTCACAACATCGAGAAATGCCTTAAATCGGAAATATTGAATTTCAAAATTGCAGCATTTTGATTCAGAGGGGCTAATGCTTTTGGATACCCCTCTGAATGTGTGACGTCAGCGGAGATCTAATGATTTTTTAATATTTTACTAAAACGTTTGGTAGCATGCGGTGGTATAGGCTGCTTTGCGCGCAACAAACGCCGCACTTTCAAATAAAGTCGCTAGGAACAGCAGCGGATATCCCAAAAAGTAAACAAAAATAAAAGTCTAATCTCTTGAAAACCGGTGAATATTTTTCGATAAAATTTGGTAGATATTCGTTTTCGCCCTTTCTGAACCTAGCGACATCACTTTCATGCCAATTCATTAACTTTTTTGAAGGTGGAAGGGTCTCTTTAACCCGCTTCGAGTCAGTGCTTGGGTCCCTTTGCGGGCCGGGAGGTGGTAAAACAGCCCTGTCTAACTCGGCTCCTGGGCCACGCCCTGATTGAACTATGTTTCATTATCGTTTGGGGGAGGGGGAAAACGGGCCACTTTAGGCCTCTGGGAAGGGGGCATGGCCCTAAATGCCCCCTCCCTGGATCCGCCAGTGTAAGAAGAGACCATTGGAGCTGCAGTTGGGTACCTCAGACATCAGGGTACGCCCTCAGATGTATGTATAGGACTCGCATGGAGACCTCTTATGCTATAGTGTACTGAAAGGACCCAAAGGAGCCTGTCTATATGGGCTCCCGGAGATAGACGTGGGCCCTCAGGAGCCCGCCAGAGCCCCAATGAGGGAGATAAGTGAGGGATACCAAGTGCCTGCAATTGCATATTGCATAAGCCATAACGCCTTTACAAATCAATATATTATGCATCAGTGGTGGCAGATCCAAGGGGGGCCACATGGGTCATGACCCCCTTGGTGCCCGGGGGCACCACAGGCCTGTCAGGGGCATCACCGGCCTAGTAGGGGCACCACCAGCCCGCCAGGGGCACCACAGGCCTAGCAAGGGCACCACGGGCCTGTGAGGGGCCCCACTGGCTTGTCAGGGGCACCCCAGGTCTGTCAGGGACACCAGAGACCTGCCAGGGGCGCCGCCGGCCTCGCAGGGGCACCATGGGCCTGTCAGGGACACCAGAGGCCTAGCAGGGGTACCACAGGCCTTACAGGGGCACCACCGGCCTTGCAGGGGCACCTTGGGCCTGTCAGGGGCACCACAGTCCTGTCAGGGCCCAGGGGCATCAGCGGTCTAGCAGGGGCACCACAGGCCTGCCAGGGGCACCACCGGTCTAGCAGGGGCACCATGGGCCTGTCAGGGGCCCCACCGGCCTCGCAGGGGGCACCACCGGCCTCGCAGGCATCACGGCATCACGCAGGGGCACCTTGGGCCTGTCGGGGGCATCACGGGCCTGTTGGGGGCACCACAGTCCTGTCAGGTCCCAGGGGCATCAGCAGCCTAGCAGGGGCACCCTAGGCCCGCCAGAGATACAGCCCACCGCTAAAGTAATGTAGGGTTTTACCAAACTCAACGGTTGGCTTTGACTGGCGATTGTTTAATGCGAAGTAATTGAAAAGAAGATGTCAATAGCTAAAGTTGCAGCTGCAAGGGTGACGATACATATAAGCTACATTCAAAGTTTCATTGTAGTCTGGCTAATCGTTCCTGAGCTTCAGAAGCAGAACATACCCATGACTGAAACCCCACATTACTTCTGCTGTGGACTGTACCACAGGCCTGCCAGGGTCCAGGGGCACCACAGGCCTAGCAAGGGCACCACGGGCCTGTCAGGGGCACCTCAGGCTCCCGTGCCCCTCCCCCCCTCCCCCCCTTAGATCCGCCAGTGATGCCACACCACGCGAAACACCGCCAACTACCAGCTGCCGCGCCATAAACACGTGCCAACAACAGTCTTTTTTTTAAGGTCGACTCCGCTCGCGCAACTTTTGACTGACCCTCACTGCTACTATATTGCTTCCATATTATGCTGTGGAAAGCTTTACTTCACCAAGTGGCTAAAAACCTCAATCAAGGTATATTTTCTTAGCAATTTTTCTGGCGTTTTGGGGGGGCCAAACAGGCCACTTTAGGCCTTTGGGGGGGGGCATGGCCCCCGTGCCCCCCCCCCCTGGATCCGCCAGTGACCGTCCTTGGCATGCAGTGCCACCTATCGGATGAGTTTCACGGGAACCTCATTGTTTGGGCGTGATTCTTGTCCCATAAACAAAGTTTCAGTAGGTATATCTCGGTGCAGTCAAAATGACCTCATAGTCGGCGCGCCCTTAAACCCCAACAAACAGACAATATCTCGGGCCTCGGCGCGGTATCATTTTTATTAATGTGTTCCGTTCCTATTTATGCATGTTCCACTTTCAGATCTGGCGGCTGTGGTGGCCAGAATGGCGCTTGGGTTAGGGGTGGGTTGGGGGGGGGGGTCCCCTCAATCAATCTCAGGAATAAATCGAAATTCGAAGGGGTTGTCATCTTAAAAATGGTGAAATTTGGAAAAAGGAATTTGTTTACAAATTTTATCAGACTCGGAATATGCCAATTTTACAAAAAAAGAAAAAACGTCTGCATTTTATCAAAAGTGGATCTAGGAAAGAAGATTGGCTTGTACGGATTTGACAGCTTAGTAATAGATGTGTTTATTTACAGAGCTTCTACACTGCATGGAAGACGCCCAGGACGGAGGTGAACCGCCGGGTGTCGATGTGGCTCTCCGGTGCCAGGGACCGGAGGAGCGGCCCCGAACCCGCCCGGAAGAAGCGGGTGGTGGAAGCTGCGACAGCAAGGCCGGCTGAGCCTGAAACGGCGAGCCCTGAGAGGCCCGTTGGGCCTCAAGAGGCTTCGGAGGCTGACGGAGTGAAGGTGGAAGTGGGCTTTCATGAGTATTGACGGCACCACTGCAGACGTGCGCGTTTGTTTAGCGCGTCACATGTTTGATAAGTGTAGTGAAGTCTGTGTGTAGTGTTTTATGTAGTGTTAATGTCGTGTATTGATGTAGCTTGTTGGTGTGTTAGTGTAGTGTGTTTGCCACAAAGAATTTGTCACGACACTGTGTTGACAGTAAAGAATTTGCCACGACGACACAGTGTCGTGGCAAATTCTTGTATAGTTGGAGGTGATTATGTAGGGTGACAGACAACTTGAGCGTGAATACGTCACACGTGAAACTTGAACGTGAATTTGATAGTGACTTATGAATATGGGTATTCATACCGGTGTTCAGCTGTACTACGGGTAGGGTATGAAGGGTAATATATCGTGTGCTTTGGTATGGGAGGGCAATTTATGTAGTTGTCACGCGACAGATGATATTTCGGGCTGAAAGAAAGTGGCAAATATGACGAAATGCTACTTTGAACTGAGACGTGTTCTGCACTTATACTAACTTGCGAACCGATTGAGAAAGAGCAGTGTTCGAAATATATCGCTTTTGTATTGTATTTTTTTGCCATTACAGTTTACTTAAAGGATTGAGGATAAGGTCAAATGACTCATACAGTATTAACAATGATTTTTCTCATAACGCTAAACTTAATCAAAGTTCAGCATTTTAGTGTTTAAATTTAGTGTTTCAGCAAGGAAGACACCTTTACGGCACGACTGCTCGATCTGGTGACGGAGGCTGCCGCCCATGCAGTAAATCGTGTAAACGAGGCGGCAGAAGCGCGGATGGTGGCTCTGGAGAATGAGCTGACAACCACCAAAACCAGACTGGAGCAGGCGGAACGGCGCATCGAGGAAGCGGACGCGTACAGCCGACGTAACTGCCTCATCATCAGCGGCATCCCGGAGGCACCCGACGAGGCAACTGACCGTCTGGTCTTAGACGTCGGACGGGCGGCTGGAATTGAAATGACAGCGGAGTGTCTCGACACGACACATCGACTGGGCCGACCGTAACCAGGCAAGACGAGGCCGATCATCGCGAAGTTTGTGTCATTCAACTCGAGACAGAAACTGTTCACAAAGAGAAAGGAGCTGGCGGCAGAAAAGGTGAGAGACCATCAAATCTTAGCTCGATCTGACGTCAGCAAGACCTTCATTTCCGAGTGTCTGACGCCCAAAAACCAACATCTGCTGTACGTGGCTCGGCAACTAAAGCAGAGAAAACTGCTCTGGGCGGCGTACACCACAAACGGCAACGTAACAGTAAAGAAGACAGAGCGGGAGGCTGCAAGCCAGATATCAGATATAACAGACCTAGAGGCAATCGTGGGATCCTGAATGGGATCCCACGAATGGGATCCGTCCGGCGCGCTGGCTGAATTCCGACCACGCCGGACGGCGGCTGGTGTGACCGGTCCGGCGCAGCGGGGTGCCGACCCATCGGCCGGGCGAGGACCGACGCCGTCAACGCCTGGGTGACGGAGCGCCGCCGCGGTCACCCCAACCGGGGGGACCGGCCGCAGAACTGATCTCACCCCAGGAAGCGAGTCATTGTGTGCGCCCGGCTCGCCACCAGGTAACCCCGTCCCGACCACCCACGGTCCAGCGCGGGAGGAGGGGGAGGGGATGGTCAGGACAGGGACTTCAGGCCCTACCGTTCCCGGGCGGCAGATATCAATCGATTTCTGGGCGAGACTGGAATGTGTTTGCGTCTCACGTGACTTACCATACTAGGGTGTACAGTTTCCACGGATCTGGATATTTTTCCTCGAAGTGTTTCATGTGCAACATGTGCCTTATACTTTTGCTTGTTTTAAGTGTCACCATGGACACTATTAAGGTTCAGATGTGCATTTAGGTTATGATAAACTGGTCCCATGCTCATTTTAGCTGATAGAGGAATCATTGTTTTGCTCTTGTTTATTGCATTGGGCCAAAACTAAGCCAAAGCTGATATTGCTAGATGGTACTTTGAGTGCCAAGGTATTAGTAGACTTGTATCACCCGCCGCCAGCTGAAGCGCCTTCCCCGCACCCACAGTGCCAACAATCATTGACACGCTTCCAAACAAACAAGTCAACATCTCTGCGATCAATATCAACTCCATCACAGCCCCTGAGAGACTGCAGGAACTTCAATATTTTGTCGATTCAAATAACATAAGTATACCTTCACCATCAGAAACTAAACTCGACGACACCATTCACCCCAGTCTTTACTCTCTCTCAGGCTTTCATGCACCAATGCTGAAAAATAGAACAAGGAAAGGTGGTGGAGTAGCGATATATGTTAGAAACACACTTCCGTTTCTACAGATATCTTCTCTCGAAAGTGACACGTTTGAGACCATATGGGTAAGAATCAAAGTATATAGCAAGTCTATTCTCTGTTCAGTATACTTCCCGCCGCATGCTTCTACTGACCAGCAATCCCAATTTCTAGAATATTTATCCGACAGCGCTCCAAAAGCTCAAAAATTTGGTCCCGATCTAATAGTCTTCGTGGGTGATTTTAATGCTGGAAACTGTTGTTGGGTAGCTCCGGCCATGCAGACGTCATTTCAACTAGGTCCATGAAGGGCGCGGCGCGGCGCGAGATTCACGCCAGGCGTGTTGCCCAGTGCCTACCAGCCAGCTCCACCACAGGGGCCGTGGTGGAGGCCGTGCACGTGACCTCGAGTGACGCGACGTGTGGGGCTGCCGCCGAGGACTGCCGGAAGATCCTGTCGGCTTTCCTCCGGCGGCAGTTGGCCCCTCCCCGGGGCTGGGGATCCCTCCCCCGATGTAGTCGTGGTGTCGTTCGGGGGAACGCCCTCGCCCCCTAGGCAACACCACACTGTGCTTAAACCGATCCCCCCCCCCCCCCCCCAATAGCCGAGGCGGTGGCCGAGAATGTCAGATGGCTGATAACGTGCCTGCTGATGTTCGGCGCCCCGGAGGCCACCGTCGTTCTCATGGCGGTGGTCCCGTGGGCCCAGCTGTCGGACGTCGACCTCTCGGTGTTTTGGCAGCTAACCGACGCCACGCAAGGCGTACCCTTATGACTTTGCTTCTTGGCATGATGCTTAATCTACAGGGCGAGTGTAGTGAGTTTGCAAAGTCTAATACTGAGTGAGAGTTTGCCGTGCAAAGCGTAATTTACACTCATTCTAATTGTCATCCTAACTTAATCCTGCATCTACTAAACCCCGCTGAATCTCTGGGCATGGCTTTGACTCACTCACAGATGCATTCTAATTTCTTCTTAACACGGCTCATAGAAAGCATCATTCGCAGTCATTCTAATCCCACCATGGGAACTCCCACCTGAAGTCCTCATATTCTCTCCATAAGCTCGTCTTTGCCACAAACTGGATTCACGATGCATCTCTGGACCCTGGGCCCATATTCCTTGCACTCTGCGCATGTCTGAAGCTTCTTGTTTCATAACAAAAAGACGCATATTGAGGCACAATGCAGCATATTTTAATAAATCCAACCGTTTTCAAAGACCTCTCGTCTTCATCATCAGGGATTAAAATACACAGTCTTGTTTTACCTGTTCTTGTTCTTCTTATTTATCTTTTCAGCGGATGGTGCTACTATGGGGAAATTCAAGTCATTCACTACATACGCTATCACGCTTTTCAATGAGACTCCGCAGAGAAATGGGCCAAATGTAGTGTTATTTGTTTACTGGGGCTTTAGGGCGCGCCCACTTCAGCGAATCAGCCAGAAAATCACCCGAATAGCCACGAACGGCATAAAAACACAGCTCGGAGTGTGCCACGTGCGCTTTATTTCCGTCGCTGACTATAAATTCATGCTGCTAGCGTTGGGAATGAAAGCGGCGAACAGCCAGAATGCTTGCATGTACTGCGAGCAAATATCGGTGCAGTACTACCGTGGTGGTCTGAAGTGGCGAACAAGGGGCAGTCCAAGGAGTCCCGGCTTCAAAAAAAAAATGATTCGTTGCTTTTTTTTTGCTGAAAGACACCTCAATAGGGTTGGGACCTATCTGCATGCTCTGTATGTTTTGGTAAAATAAAAAAGCTCAGAATTTTTAATGATTTAATTTAAAATCACTTTGTTAAAAAAATGCCTAGTTAGTTCAGAAATTAATTATTTGTGGCTGAAAACAACTTGCTTCTGATTGGTCGGGCTAATCATGACGTCACATGTAGGTATATAACTGTCTGTATATTTGGCGCAGTTGAGACATACATTTTCTATGTATTTTCCTATGGTAAATCGGAGTGATTGGTCGTGTTTTCAGTGTCTCTTTATTTTGCGCTGGTATTGCGTGGCTAAGAAGTTTTATCAACAATGGCATATACTAAAATGTTCCTTTAATAATGGAGCTTCAATATCTGTGAGTTTTAATGGCAAGCGAAAACTGATTTCGCTGTTATTTTATCTGGAAATTACTCATTTTTTTAGGTCAATATTCAAAATATTTTACGAGAACAAGTTGACACTTTTCTTGATTTTTGCACTCAAATCGCGTGCGATTCAACTGTATTGGAACTTGCAAAGAAGCTTGGTGATTAATTAACTGTGTTGTTATGGCACTGTTTGCAAAGCATGGATAACGAAACTCTACCAAAGACTTAGCTACATAGCAATGCCTCAAGTAATACGCAGGAGGGACAGAATTCAGAGTCCGATCGAGAAGAATCGGTGCAAATGCTACGAAGACCAGGCAGCTCTGATACAATAGCTAGTCGTCTCACTACTCTCACTCCATTAGACCAGCTGATTCCTGACAGCACCGACTCGGATGCAAAGATGGAGCTCATCTTCCAAGCCAGAAACCAGTTCTTTGATGGAAGATGTGATGCTACCTCTGTCTCTGCTTTGTTGGCCACTTTGGACGGGGCGGAGCTCCGCTCCTTGCGTGATGCGGTTATTCGCCTGTCATCCTATGTATCCTATGTATCCTATGTACATGTTTGTATGTCCTATGTATGTTTGTTTTAAAAACGTTGCAGCGGCGCTGGGAACTGCAGTCTTAGATCTGGGTATGTTTGGCATCTGCAACTCTTCATATACACATTAACCCTATTTCGGACGGGGAGACCTTTCAGGATTTTCTTGTACAATTGCCAAACGCCGCGAGACATTCAGCTCCTATTTGGTGACTTTTCCTAAATGCTCATTGCGCACATCCCAGCAAAAAAAAAAAAAATGCCGGGTCAGGTCAGGTCAGGTAACCAGAGCGGGTTTGTTGACCCCACCTCAGAAAAGTTTGCAAACACGTCAGAGCTTGAGTTTTTCACGAAGTTATTTCCTCTCATCAAGTCTTCAAAACAGTACCTGCAGTATGCGTCGTTTGTATATCTCAGAATTGTTTATCTGTGACCTGAGGTTAGGTCAGAGTCGTGACCTTTACATTGCAAGGCTATGGAAAAGTATTGAAATGCGACCTGCACCTCGAGTAAACGAGTCAAAACCACCCAATTCTTTAAGAATTATGACAAATTATCTTATCTGTAATGATCCAAGTGCCATTTACTGACAGGGACACCGGAGAGGGTTATCTGAGCCGAGATCATGTGAGGTGATATCTACCATACATCAATGCTCACAATACTTACAATATTGACAATGCTTTTGCTTACAACACTTACAATACTTACGATGAGACCAGCAAGCACTCTGCCGTTACAGTTCTAACTTCTGCTTCGAAAAACGACGTTACACACATTCGCTGCCAGCATAACATGTATTGTTTGACAGTAACAAAATACAATTGACATCTGAACCCCAAACGGACCGCCATCCACTCAAATTTTATAACCCTGACCGGTCAGGGGGCGAATGGAGGTCATTTCCTGGGCATTACACTCAGCCCTTGCACAAAATATCTCACCTCACAGTGATCATTACAACAATAGCACCGACTTGATAGTGGATTTCAAAGTACTTGCATCAGCTCTTCCTGCTATTGCAGACGATCATCTCCTCAGGGTAATGTTGTTCGGGACATGAACGAAGATCGTTTTCGGAGTTTCATAAGTGCTACTGCAACAGCCTGGCACAAAACAGGACTTGTACGCTCTTCTCTGCACTTTGCCCTTCAGTATATCACAAAAGAATTGTTTAGAATCCATCTTACGCTTCTTTCACAGTCTCCCTTGCCACCGTAGGGCGTAGATAGATTGCTGTTGCTGGTAAGTTAAGGCACGGTAGATAGAAATTACCTCGGTTCTCAACGCCTTAAGTTATTTTCATAAAAAAGAACAAATAAATGATCAATAAGATGACAGGAATGTAAACATTTTAATCGTAAAGTAGTCCAAATATTGGAATGAGCTTTTGCTTTTCAGCATCCTCCGATTCATCATCTTTATCATTTGCAAATTCGAGGTACATAAAATGTTTATCACGCGCTCATGTTAAGTGGGAATATAGTACACGGCAGACACATCAATTTTTGACACTGAACATTTCATCCGTAAATGTTTTAGCATAATTTAAAGTTAAAAACAGCGCGAATGGCAGAGTGAAGCAAACAACATCTTTCACCCATTGATATAACATGTAATCTGTGGTGCGCCAGATGCGCCATTATTTGTCAACCGCAGAAGGTGACATGTGACGTAACAGCATCAAGAGCATCTTTTTTCAAGAACTTTTCAAAACAAGTTTCCTATCTTTCTTCCCCCATTTCTCTCAGCTTATTGATTTTATGAGGCAATGGTATGCACCATAAATTCTGTGAAAATAGTTTGATCATTTTCATGCATTCTTAAAAAATCGAGTTCCCAACCCCATTGACACACTTCATCTGTTTTCTGAGTTACGGATAAACTTTTCGTTCTTGTGGTAAAGCAGGAAGTCGGTGATAATCGAGTCTGTGTTCGATGCGGAGCCGTGCGGTGTGGGGGTCAATGGACACCTATCAACTAATGAACAGAAGGCGCTAAAGTTTTCGAGCCTCAGTATCCGTGACGAGCTCGCCGTCCTCGAGCTACTCTGTTCACGGCCACTAGGCTTTCTCCCCGCCGCAAAGGTGTTCAACTTCTCAAACTGCAGCTTAGGTGTGCCTGTGTCAAGCACAAAGCGCGTAGGTATTCGGAAAGTGAAATGATAATGGCCCTAGTTCTCCAATACCAACGAGCAAGATCCTACCGTCACCCGCGATCTATCTTTTCCCACCTCACCCTCACCCACTGCGAAAGAGGATCAAGCACATCCAGATGCTATCTGGATGTCAGGACGTCGTCATCGACATTCTCGAAAAATAGCCGAAAAAGATGACGGACGCAGACAGCTGGTCGTTCAGTCAATGGACGAGATGACCGTAAAATACTGGTGTACCACAGAGGTGAAGATTATGTTGAAGGATTCGAGAACATGGGAGAGATGGGAAATGACAGTACGAGTGGCGGACCGTGCTCTCGTGCTCCCAGCACACGGAGTAAAACAAGCTTGGAAACAGCCGATCGGCTTCTTTTACAGCGCTGGGCCGACGCCGGCGTCAGTTTTGGAAGATCTGGTGAAGAGCGCGGTAAGAAAGCTGAGAAATGCGCAGTCAATAAAAATGATGCAACATTTTGCGACATGGGGAAACCCAATCAGGACCTGCTGAAAAGACTGGGTGTAAGCGTGGAGGGCCCTCTGTTCTCTGTAGAGGATTGGGAGGTAGTGGCGATGTGCGACGTCCCACACCTCTTCAAGTGCGTGAGAAATGCTCTGTGCAAATATGACGTCAACCTCAGTGGCGCCAAAGCGTCATGGCAGCATCTCCGTCGTTTCTATGCTGAGGACGTCAAGGGTACAATAAAGACAGCGCCCAGTCTAAGAAAAAGCCACATACAGCTTGAGGCGTTCTTGAAAGTGAAAGTCAAGTCCGCCGCCAAGGTACCGCACCGACCTGTCTCCGTAGGCATCCATCTGCTCTGCAACTTGGTGTGTATTCGTGCATATGTGAAGCTGATAAAGTCTCGTTCATCCTCCTAGTTTGAAGATTGGTTTTATTTTCCAGCACGGAGACTTGTCTGGAAGAAGAGTTGTTTCCTTTAACTTTTCATATCATTACCTTTTCTGGCGCCATTACTCCGGGGACAACTTTCCATTTGACATCCACGAGACGAAAACTCCTTCCGACTGCACGAACCTATTCCTCCCAGACGAAGTGGTGGACAAGATAGGCAGTCCAGGAGATTAGATTAGAAGCAGGGTTGTGCTCGACTAAAAAAAAAAATTGCCGACTCGACTCATCATTCAACTTCAGGAAGACCTGACTCAACTCTGACTCAAACAAAGAGCTGATTTTTTCCTTTGACTCGACTCATGACTCAAGCGGATCAATGAAAATATGAGTCGACTCGACTCAAATTTGACTCAAAGTGTACGTTTGAAAAATGAGTTGATTTAACCCGACTCAAATGTTTTGTTGAGTCAACTGTGAACTGAGTCGACTTAAAATTGACTCAAAGATAAAAAAGTTGTTGAGCGGGGGGGGGGGGGAAAAATCAGGCAGCAGGGCCAGGGCTAAATTGTTAAGCGGGGGGAGTAAAAAGCTTATATCAATTTTGAAACTCAATTTCAGTCTTTAAGTGCTAAAATATCACCTGTACTCAAAGAGGTATTGCCTACAAAAAGCATTTAACATTCATAAAACAGCAAGGACAAAATAACTTGAATTACTGAAATGTGTTTATGAAGACATGACAGTTACCAGTAATCAAATTTACATTTCACAGGTGTTCTACTATTCCACATCCCTAAAATGTTGCAGGTACCCACCAACCAAATGTTTGAAATATAGATGGCGACAACACAAAAACTACAGATTCGGCTTGGATTCGGCCATGAGGAGGCGAGATCGACATCTGTCTCCAAACACAAGAGCTCTGTTCGCCCCCCGTTTATTTATCAGCAGGCTGCGAGCATGCTGCTACTTCTTGGCTCCTCATTGGTCGAATTCAAGTGGTCTATTCGTTAGACCAATGAGAGGCCAAGCGCCAGCAATAACTTCCTTATATGGGGAAAACCGACAGCAAGCTGATATAAAAACAGCGACCGAACAGGGCCAAGGCTATCAAGGATTTCGAAACAGATGCGCCACAACAGAGGCTTTTAACCAGCTGATTAGATTGCTGCAAAAAAAAGTTTTTGACTGTGGCACAGCATATTTACGTCTGGACAACGAGTTGCGGAGAAAAGTGCTGATTTTGTCGCAGTTTTAGGAGCCGAAGTTAGGCTGGATTTTTAGGTTACTTTTTCGTTCCGATTCATGTATTTCATAGTGTTTGGTTTTTTGAATATTTTACTTCTTTCGGATAAATATTACTTGCCGTACAACTTTTGTTAAAACGTTTTATTTTTATAAGCCGACCGTAAGAGTCCTAAAAATACATCAGCACTATAATCATTGTAAACAAACAAATGGAGCACCACTTGGCTCTGTTCCAAGGCCCTTTTCAGGTTTATTTAATGGTTTCCGTACTCTTGTACGTCGTTTTGTTAGATGTTTTGAATCCCTTAAGATTGACTTATATCATTTTTGAGAAGCATGGTGACTGAAAACAATCCCATGCATCCAGGAGGCTGACAGAGGTCCTGCCTGAGTCAGAGCAACGCAAAACCTATTTGTTGTTCAGTGGCCTTGAATTTTATTTCAGTGAGCCGGACCACCGCTCGGCGTTCGCCGCTACGCCACCGGCGCGAGTCCTCTGAAGAACGGCACCACCAGCGGGTATGGTCAAGACAGCATGATGCTCGCACACAGCGCTCACCGCCACGCCACGATCGGCGTGAAGCTTCGGGGGAGTCAGGACGTCGATCCGGAGGAGGAAATGAACTGGGTAAATGTTGGGATGTACAGCCCTCTGCAGACTGCGTGGTAGGTATTCTTTTTTCGCCAAAACCGATGATAACTCAAAGGCTAAGTTATCAGTCGGTCGGATCTCATTGCATATAGATGCGCCATGCTCCACTCCTTCGATTGGGTCTATCACGGAACAAAGTATACGCCTGGTGTAGCAACAAAATGCAGAAGTTCGTTTTGGGGGCGGATATAAACTTTTGTGTGTTGTTGCCAAACTAGATGGAAAATGTATACCAAAATAAGCCCAATATAAGGTGCGGAGTCTCGTGCGTCTTGCTGTTACGATGTCCGAGTGACCGTTAGCATAGTATTGGCGTTATTCTCGGTTTTGTCGAAAAAAGAATACCTACCACGCAGTTTGCAGAGGGCTGTACGTTGCGCATCGGGGGCCGCGCCGCAGAGCGGAGCCGGTGACGTCACGGGCAGTGACGTCCCGGCTGACCCGGGCTGGGTCAGGGCGCCGGCCGGCCGGCCGGCGGGCCAGCGGGCAGTGGCGACCGGAGCGCGGTGCCGGGCGGTCGCCGGCGCCGGAGTGTGGTGACGAGTGCCGCCGACGCTGCTGGGTGTGACTGTGAATACACCTGCCTACCACGAGACTGCTGGCGTGTCAGCTAACACTGGCGCGGTCGGTAGGACCCCCGTTCGGGCCGTGAGTTCCTCATCCCGACTGCCGGACACTCGTCAGCCTTGGCAACATACATGGACGTGTCGCTCGCACTGGGCGGGCACACCCTGGCCATCAACTACCCAGGCCCGGGGTACGAGAACCCAACCCAGCAGACCGCCATCTATGATTTCCTCTCGGTTCACACCGACGACCAGGAGAACCTTGGGGCGGTCGGTGCTGCAAAGCGGCCATAACTGACCTCGTTGGGAATCTCCTGGGGGGAGGTTTCTACTGGTCCCTCAACTACCGGGGCAACGTGAGGGAGGCTCAGTCCCTCCCCCACCCTGCCGACGCACCGATCTCGCGTGTCTCGGTCGTGGCGATCGACTCCTGGGGAGAAATCCACGCACCTCACAGTGGATACGTGACATGGAATGAGCTCTCGTGGCGGCGTATGTCAACAGCTCGCCGCCCGTTCGAGGCCCGGATAGACCCTGGGTGGACGCACGAGTCCTTCGGGAACTTCGAGAGAGTTATACACGATCTTGGCTTCCTCCGAGTCACCGACGACGTCTTCGGAGGCCACGACGAGGGCGATCAGACACGGTGTGCGCCCTACCGGACGTCATACGCGCCACGACCTGAGAATCGACGGTGGGTGGTTCCGTTCACAGGGGAGGATCACCCATGGCTGACCATGGCAGCAGTCTGGGGATCAGCCCGCAGGGGGGAACTCAACAACGAGTGGCGTGCAAGGGCCACCCCCCCCCCCCCCGCTTCTCAGGGAGTACGCGGAAGGGGTGGTGCTCACTCCAACGATCAACGACCATCTTCGCCCATACCTTTCTCATGATGCACGACCACGGTGGCAGTTCACCTTCCTCGCAATGCGCGCAACGAACGCGGCGCGAGTTGAGGACCTGAAGGCTCCCCTCCCACAGTTCCCGGTCCTGGTGGTTCCATCGGTACCGGACGTGTCGGGAAGTGGCGATGCCCCAGACAACGAGAATGTAACATAAATATTGTTATATTATATCTTACATGCACAAACAGACCTTTTGACGAAATTCAATTACCATTGGAAGGCATTATATTGCCATTTAAAATGTGTTGTATGTGGGATACAGCCGTTCCTTGCTGCTAACTGCTGCTGTGCTTTGATAACCTAGCGACCTGATACTTGACCAGACCCAAAAAATGTGCTTCGGTCATTATTTTTTACGCTCTTTCGAATTCCGCTTACCGCGTGTCGCTACGTGGCCCAGGGGCAGTTAGACGGGGGGGGGGGTTGACACCCCCCGGCCCGGGCGCGGAAGTCGCGGAGCACCGGCCCGGCGCGGGTTAACATATAATGCGAACGGTTGTTTCCTACGATGAAGGCCGTTCCAATTTGCAGCAGGGACGGTCGTGGTTCGACTGCTCCACCAGGTGCTGGAGAATCAAAGACTGATTCTCCAGCGCCTGGATGGTAACAGCCTCAGCGAGGAGGACGGAGCTGGGGAGCAGCTCGTCCGATCTCCTGTCAGCTCTCCAGAAGAGCTAGAGCTCCTCGAAGAGGCTCTCTACCAACCGGAAGAACGCAAGAGGCTGGTAAGCATCATCATGCCTTGACCCTTGACCTAGTCAGTGTAGTTATAAGCGATATGCTACGTGCCTCACTAGTTTCGAATGCAAAGTTTACATACACGTTCACACATAATAGTGGTAAATTGCTACGTTTCAAGACTGATTGATGATTGTGGTGTCATGACGGTTACTTCCGTTGATTTGGGGTGTTATAATGTCATCGATACATATTGATTTTAAGTTCCGAAGGGCTTTTCGTAAAACTACATCAATTTCTGGACGCCGTCGAATTTGGTAACAGATTTGTTCTGCAAGATGCAATATTGTACGCTTCAGATAGATAATATCTCTCTAAAACATAATTTCTTCCAGACATATTATGTGTTATCAAATACGTTTTCGAAAGACAACCTTTACCATTAATCGACAGATTCGCTACCTGTCCGGAATCGGTGGCAAAACCGTGGGCGAGTTTGTCCGCCGAGCGCTAAGCAGTGTGCTGACCAACCAGCTGATGACTTCGAAGGTGCCTCTAGAAGCAGGGATAGCAAAGTTCTTTCTGCAGATCGTGTCTTGTCTGTCATCGCCACCGCAACAGGTAACTCACCGGCGGGGTCGCCCGGCCGGCCGCCCGCCGTGCAGTCGGGCCGGCGCTGGCGGCCGTCCCGCCGCCGCCCCTATCCGCCCGGCGTCCTCATATGAGGACGGTGTAAAAAAACGTCTATATCGTTATTGCAAACTAATGAAACTTACTTGGGTGCATCGTTCATGTGTTTCGTCCATTATTTGTGCAATAAATCATTTTTTGCGCGACTATTTGTACTAGCGAGCGTTAATGGGTTAATCATATAACTCCATAAAAGTATCATCGGTGCCTCAAAGCCTTCAAAACGGTCTCGCTAGCCTGATGCCACACGGCGTGCCCGTTAACATTCGCCGCACGCTCACTGGAAAGCTTGGGCGACGCGTCCGCCCCCTGGCTCACGATATTGATCCCGCTAGATGGCAGGCCTATCTCCACCGGCACCGCTGGTCGAGAACAATGCGAAGAGCCCTATCCAGTAATTACTTCATCCATCCAGTCAGTGGCGCAGCCAGGGGGGGTCAGAGGGTCAGCTGACCCCCCCGAAATTTCTGTCAGGGGCCCGCTCGAGAGAGAGAGAGAGAGAGAGAGAGAGAGAGAGAGAGAGAGAGAGAGAGAGAGAGAGAGAGGGAGGGAGGGAGGGAGGAGAGAGGTCCTAATCTAATCGGACGAGCCCGCTTCGAGAAATGCCTACTGGGGCACCACGGGTGAGGGGCCGGCCTGGGGCCCCAGGTAGACGGGGCCCGGGCCCCCGGGAGAACGGGCCCGGGCCCCCTGGGTGGATGGGGCCCGGGCCCCCGTGGATGGGTCCGGGCCCCCGGGAGAAGGGACCCAAGGCCCCGGACCCCCGGTTGGATGGGGCCCGGGCCCCCGGGAGAACGGGCCCGGGCCCCTGGGAGAACGGGCCCGGGACCCCGTGGATCGGTCCGGGCCCCCGGGAGAACGGGCCCGGGCCTCCCAGATAACGGGCCCGGGCCTCCCGGAGAACGGGCCCGGGCCCCCGGGAGAACTGGCCCGGGCCCCTGGGAGAACGGGCCTGGGCCCCCGGACAACGGGCCCGGGCCCCCTAGATGGATGGGACCCGAGACCCCGTAGATGGGTCCGGGCCCCGGGAGAACGGGCCCCGGGCCCCGGGTGGACGGGGCCCGGACCCCCGGGTGGATGGGGCCCGCGCCCCCGGGAGAAACGGGCCCGGGCCCCCGGATGGATGGGGCCCGGGCTCCCTGGTGGACGGGCCCCGGAGCCCCGGGTGGACGGGGCCCGGGTCCCCGTGTGGATAGGGCCCACGCCCCTGTGTGGATAGGGCCCGGGCCCCCGGGTGAATGGGGCCCGCTAGGGTGACCCGCTTGCTCCGCAACGCGAATAAGGGGTATTTTCGATCGGTGGGCGTTTGGTTGGTCTTGTGTCCGTGGGTTACGTATCCATTTCGGTCGATTGCTTTTTGACGGCTAAGCATTTTGGTTTGGGAAAAATATCCATCGCAACGAGGTGCTCGTGTCTGATAAGCATGCGTTCTAGTCACTTCTACTATAGAACATGTCATGTGTAGTAGGGTGGTAGGCAAAATATCAACTTAGTAATTTTTGTCAGGCCAGGTGATAATTTTGTTCCTTTCCCTAACGTGAGTGTGTCACAGAAATTTCACTGCGATATTCAGTTGTTTACCCCTGCCGCATCGACCTTTTCGGTACGCATCGAACCTTGGCTGAAGTCTTCCCTGAATGAGGGTTTCCTTTCTCAACAGCAGCACAAAAGGCTACCATAACCGTTTATATTCACGTTCTAGGTTCAAGAGTACCTCAATGATGTTGCTGTCGCGGACTCTGCCGCTACCGCCGAGCCGCGCCGGTACAGTAGGTCTATTAAAAAAGTCCCCAGCACCAGTGGGCGCTGCCTCCGCTGAGCCGAACCCCCGTCTGCCTGTCCCATATCGCGCCGGGCTCAGGTCAGATAGGGTCAGCGGGACCGCTCGGTCCGGCCCGCGGGCGGTGGACGGGCGGCCGGTAACGCTTTTCGCCAGCCAGCTGTAGAATCCAACAAACGGGACGGCCGCCGCTCAGCGCAGTGAAACCGGTGAAGAATGGTAGTAGATGTTCATGGCCACAATGATTATGAGAAAGTCATTGTTAGCCCGTGCCCCACAGGAATGCCTATTGTTGGAGGGAACATGGGGATTGAGCATCATTCTTATAACTCAGCTTTCACTTTGGGCATATAAGTGGCATTCGAAGTAGCGTCAAAAGTAGCAAAAAGAAGAAGAAATATACTTAAGCCAATTTTAGATCGGGTTAGTGCCAGAGGTCATGTCACCAGAGGTCATCGGTGGTAAAATTTTGTTTGGACAGGGTGCGTTGCGCGCACCGGTGCATTGGGTTTCCAGTTTCCATGGAAACATCAACAGACTCGGGAGCTCGCAACGCTAGCGTGGAGCCGAATTCATATCAACCGCCGCAACAATGCAGCAGCGCAGCGCAGCGTGCTGCAGCGCGGGGCCGTGAAACACCGCCCAGGGCTATCCATGTGTCAGGGCAATCCAACCCACGTGATGGGCTCGGCCCCAGCGGAGCATGAGGTCCAGGACTCCCGCCCAGGCCCCCTGTCTCCCCCTAATTCCTGTCATCCTTCCCACTCTGAAATCGACCGAGCATAACCTAACACAACAATCAGCTCGTTTACCGCTATGTCTGAATAATATTGTGAGATTTAATAAAGGCGAACGGCTTAGCACGTAAATAACAGCAACTGCCACCATCGGTATTAGGAGAAAACCAATTGCTTTTCCACAAACACTTAAAAGTTTTTAGCTTAAAACTTGCTTGAAATTAATTTTACCAGCCTCGTGTTCCTCTTATCAAAAAACGCTTCGAATGAATCAAAAGCTGATCTTTAAAGGTCATTTGAAGAAAAAAATTGGCCTATGTTCAAAGACATGACCTGACCACAAATGGTCATGATGCATAGCAGGATATTAGATCCATATCGTGGAACTTTACAAACACTTTAGATGATTTCATAACTTAAGCATGTCTATCAAAATAATTATGACATGTATAAGCTGGGTGTGTGATCATGCTTACTAGTATGTTTAACGCAACTGATAATGTTCTGTTGGCCACAATTTCCATATTAAATTTATTCTCCCGGATTCCATATTTTTATTAACCCGCGCCCAGATGGGGTCTGCCGAGCAACGCGGTCTGATGGGGGGGGGGCATTTTGGCCCCCCCTCAGATCTCGAGAACCACGCAATATAGCGACAAGCGGTAAACGGTGTTGGATAGCCCCAACGGGGAACTACCTTGTGACCCAATTTCATTGACCTCGGTCAAACCGATGACGTCACAGGTCAGGTCAAAGGTCGAATTTTCACCGTTTACAGGCATTTCAAGAAATGCGTTGTAAAATCGAGTAAAATGCATTTCATTGAAAATCATCGGTGGAGAAATGTTCTTCAAACACATATTTTGCTATTTGAGGTCACTGATACCAGGTCAGGTCACAGAGGTCAGGTCACTGGGGGGGGGGGGGGGGGCACAATATGAAAGTGTCGTGTGATACATGTTTTATGGTCCATTTTACATGACAAATGCGATTATGTGGGTCAGACAGACTTTAGGGCCGGCTTAGGTCACGTTTTGGTCAAGGTCAGGTCAAGGTCAGGTCAAGGTCAGGTCAAATTAGGTCAAATTTCAAAGTTGATATTTTTTGCATAAAATGGGTATCGATTCGATGCAGCTCGTCACGGGGAGTTCAATGGTGGTCTCCGTTTTGCGCTACCAGGTCTAGAATTGCTAAAAATTGAGTTCAAAAATTTGACGTCATCAATTTTTAACAGTTTTTTTTGCTATAACTTGGCCAAAAAAAGAGGTATCGATCTAAAATTTGGTATGTATATCGAAGAGCGTAGGGACTATCACATATATTCCGGTTTTTTCGAAATTCGAAAAAAAATTGGAAATTTTTTGAGTTTTTCTAAAAAAATCATTTTTTTTTATTTTTGGGGTCAAAATCCCAAAATTTCAAAAATCCGAGATAGCAGTTTTGTAGCGCCGTCTTTTCTCTACACAACCACATAAAGAACTTTAAAATTGCTTGTTAACTGTAGAATTGGTGAGCGTTTCAAGATGTCATGTTTTTTGCTCATCTTTGCTCGAACATTACCTCAGTTTGACCTCAATAACTCCTGACCTGAGGTGACCTGTGACTTGAAATTTTGTGTGAAGGTGTTAAATTGATGCCCGGTAAGGTACCCAAAATTTGGCGGCGCGTTTTTTCGCTATTTAAGAAAAACCACAGGAGGGGCCAAAGTGGCCCCCCCCCCATCAGGGCGCGGGTTAATGACACCTTGAGGATGTCGAGAAAAAATCGCTTAGGAGATTCAACAGCCTGAGATGCATTCAGTATAAGGA